GACTATAAAAATCTATAATTAGTAATATTTTTGCAAATAAACACGCTTAAATGACATTTTTACAAATGTACACACAAATGGTATTTTTGTAATTATCCCAAGAAAAAAAATTAATATTCATCTTGAAAATAACAATTAATTACATAGAATCAGCGGACATATGAATAATATTAATATGTTTTGGATTTAAATAAATTTTAAATATTTTTGACTGTAAAATATATATTAAAAATCATATTAAAAAAAATTAATGATATGTGTTTCGACCGGTTCGACAAAGTGACCACCAATCCAACAACTTTATGTTTAGTTTGGAAAACACTAATAATAATTAAGACCCAACAAAAAAAAACAGTGTAATAAAACGAATTTTAAGATGAGCCTGAACTAAATTTTAGTCGATCGTTGTATAATTAAGTTGGGTAACATTTGCATTCATATCTTTTCTCAAAAAAAAAAACATTTGCATTTTGAACTCAACTAGCGAAGATTTTGGATTTGAAAGTCCGTTTTCGTACCTTCTATCTTTTTTTTTCTCGTATTTTAATTATTAAAGCAGATACTGACACATCATGTTAATTCTTGCTTTTGTGATTTTAATTTGGATCAATTTGGTTAATAACCAAAACAAAATTAAAACATAATAACTAACTAAAAATCTTAAAATTAGTGGCTATGATTAGTGTCACATAGGGATTTTTTTTAATTATTATGTTTTTATTTTTTTCTTGGTTATAGTTGTCAATTTCCCTTTTAGTTTAATAGTTTTTGTTACAAACCATAGTTCGTATTAATTGCTATAACATCATTCGACTTCTCAATGGATGCCTCCTCTCCCTTACAAATAGAATGGAAACCGCAGAATCTATTTTTCTAATTAACAAAAGTGAAAGGAGAATATAGAAGAGAAACCAAATAATAGCTTACCTAAATAATTCCTCTTAAAAAGTATAATAGTCTCATTGATCAAATCCTTATCCATTGGATTTCTAGCCGGCCAAATGATTCTCTAACCACATGTTTTTGGTTTCTTTTGCTATAGAGATTAGAGAACCACTACCTGAATTTATTATTCAAACTATCATTGCATACTTTATAAAAAAACAATCATTGCATGTAAATGGAAAAGAAAGTATCTCTACTAACTCGACAGGAAAAGGGTAAACGTGTCATTTTTCAGCATTTGTGTCATCCACTCACGACTATCAACTCGGTCGTCTAAAAATGAAATAAATGACAATGTCAAGCTCGGTTAAAACTTTGAAAAATGTATAAACTCACCTTTACAAAGTCGTAGCCCTCTTTATATAATAAAACTATTGTTATTTTATCTAATAAAAATGAATGAAAACACTTTTGTTAAGAAAGCTTCTTGAGGAAATAAGCGTAGTAGTTGGTGAATATGAATTTGAAAATAATGTAAACGTCTTGGTCTCTCCTCTTATTCTTTATAAGCTCTTCCCATT